AGCCAGCCTGGGCAGGAGAGACCATGAGACTCCTATCTCCAATAAACCACCAGAAAACCGGAAGTGGCGCTGTAGCTCAAGTGGTAGAGCGCTCGCCTTGAGCTGAAGAGCTGAGGGACAGCGCCCAGGCCCAGAGTTCAAGCCCCGCGACCGACCAAAAAAAAAAAAAAAAATCTTGAGAGCCTTTAAGGCTGATTTGCAAGGGGACAAAAATATGCAATGAGTTTACATATATGATATTAACAACTGGAAGACATTTGAAATATCAAGTGAAACAAATTTTTTTGCAATCCGTTAGCATAGTGTTGAATTTCAGTTTCACAGTGAGAATGTAATAAAAATGTGTAGTATAAAACACTGACTTTGGAACTTTCTCTGGAGCTTTGGGATGCTTAGCACAGTTTGTTAATTGTTGGGTATAAATAAAAGCAAACAGACTATATTTAGTAAGTAGCATTGATACAAAAAAAGGTAGTCCTGTACCAACATTTAGACCTTTGTATCCTGCAGTTTGCTATTGTCTTCAAAACTCCAAAGTATAAAGATGTGAACATCACAAAACCAGCTTCTGTGTTTGTCCAACTTCGAAGGAAATCTGACCTGGAAACTAGCGAACCCAAACCTTTTCTCTACTACCCTGAAATCAAAGGTAATGCCACCGTTGACATTCTTGTGCTTGTTCTGAAGAGGACAAAGGTGATCAGACACAATTAGCTGCCACCTCCTTTCCCAGCTTCCTCAACGCTGTTCCTTGGACCCATGCTTCTTATTTTTAGAGAAAAGAGATAGCTCATATCCTAGCTTGAATTAGTCTGAAGTTTGTCCAAACTTGTGTAAGGTGTAGTCCTTTGGGAGCCTATCATTGAAGTTGAGAGTCTAACATGTGTTGCATGAGTTGGTGTTCAAACCATTGAAATGAAACAACCAAGCTAGGAATGTGTTGAGTATCATCCCCAAAGGCTTTAGATATAGATAGAAAACGTTACCCTCTCTTTATCCAGAATCATCCAGACCTGAACGCTAAGTTCTCTACAATCACTGTCACTGCATCTCACCAAAACTTCTTAGAGATAGTTGGACTGGGCAAGGCTGCGGAAATAACCAAGTGAGGGCTGATTGGCAAGAGGGGAAGACAGTTGCAGGAGTTCTGTGTGAATACCAGTAAAGACCATAGGGACACCTTGATCTGGAAAGATGGAGATTAGGAAGAAACAAAGTGATAATCTGTAAGTTATAAATGGTATGGTTAGGATATATTCAGACATCCTAACTGGTAAATTGGAACCCAAAAAGTGGGCATAATTTCATTCTTGAGTTCATCTTTGATTAATCAACTTATTTTTAAAATATCAGGTCTTGCCCTCAAAGGCCTCTTGCTCACTCACTCAGCTTTCTCGCTCATGACTGGTATTCAGCCACTTAAGCCAGACCTCCAGCCCAGCTTTTCGTTGATTAATTGGAGATAGTCTTTTGCACTTCTCTTTTGCACTGGTGGAACTAGGATTCCATGCATGAGACAGTGGTGCCTAGCTTAAAATCATCAACTATAGTCTAAAGTCATTGGTTATTAGACAAATCACTTAAAATATAAGGCTATTTTGTTTCCCAAAGAATAAAAATCTAATATAGTAAAGGATCACTGGACTTGGAGTCTGATCTTCACTGTGTCTTAACCTCAAAACCTCTGAGCTTCAATGTTTTCTTCTGTGAAAGGAGAATTTTGGAGGAAAGTCGATTAGGTCTCTACCCGAACAGGTTGCTGTTTCATAATGAATTCCATAGTGCTACTGTCAAAGGCCACCACAGGATGAATATAACAAGTGTGAAAGAATTTCTGTTTCCTTTCTATGGAGTTTGTGCTTTGCAGTTCTTTTGTAAAGCTTGTCATATGAAATTTCCTGAGTTAGCTCTTTCTTGCGGGATTCTTATTGGCTCTAGTAAAATGTATATTTTATAGTGAGAGAGAGAGGTTGAGAGAGAGAGAGAGGGAGAGAATTCCTTATAGTGAACCTTTCACTTCAGCCAGAATTACCTCCTCCATTATTGCCTCAGGCATATCCTTCATTACTTTGTAAAATCTGTCCATATCCTCTTCCTGAAACTTCTTCCTTTGCAACTCCTCACATGGGTTTGATGTATCACCAATGTGTACCGTGAACTTCACACAGATACAAACCACCTAGCCACCTTCAATGACAGCAAAGACACCATGCCATGCCCTTTCGTTCACAGTAGAGTCTTCATAAATGTTCACTGATTAGCTATAGATGTTTTTGGTGACCAAGGGTGGGGGGGAGGGAGATTCAGTAACTTTTTTATAAAATTCTTTACCTTCCTGGTATCTAAGTCTCTGGAGGGCAAGCGGACAGGCCCCTCCGCAGTTTGACCTGAATTAGGGACTTAGACAATGTTTGCAGGGTGGAATTGGGTGGAGACTGCCCTGTGATCTCTGAGACTCCTTCTGGGCCTTTGTACTCATGGAAATAAATATAGTGCTTCTTGAAATTTGCCAGCTCTTCCTCCTCGAGTGCTGTCTCTTTCCCTTTAAGACGTTTTAAAATGCCATGAGAATCCATAGTCGTTCGTTCTGCGGCTGGGGTGGTGGAGCCCAGTCAGTCTTCTCTCCCCTGGTTTCTCTTCCTGTAAATACAGATAAAGAGGAAGTGCAGAGGAAGCGGCAGAAACTCATGCCCAACTTTTCGGATAGTTTCGGTGGTGGCAGTGCGGGAGCTGGAGGCAGAGGCATGTTCGGGACAGGAGGTGGAGGAGGAAGTTCTGGAAGCCCCGGTCCAGGTACCAATCTATTCTTCATAAAGCCTCTTCCTATCAGAGACAAGACCGGGTTTTTGTCGTTGCACTTTGTGTGTTTCTTCCCTAGGTCTCCAAATGTATTTTGTAGGTTGAGTGACTGTGACATTATTATGGATGAGATTTCAAATCCATTAAAGTTTCCTTACAAATATACATGTACTTTCCAAAGACACAACTGCTCCCTCTACAGCCCTGGGTGGCCACCGCCCCACCCCACCCCCCAGTTATCTTGTAAGTTAACTTATCCCCACTTTTACTTCCTGCACTTTCTGTTAGGTTTTATTACAGTGTGCCTTGCTATAACTGTTCCATATTATTAATTGCTGTTGTTCATCCTTCCTTTGAATGAATGTCTTGCTTATGAATGGAGCCGTCCCGTTGGTATGTATGAACCAGAAAAGATGGAGTGTATATGTAGCATTCAGTACTGTTCACTGTTCCAAGTACCCACTGAGGCCCTAGAATATATCCCTATGGGTATCATATCAAATAATATATTGACATATTAGATACAGTATCAAGTATTATTATATATAATATAGATATGATATATAACTATAATATATAATATCAGATATATATTATTTGATGGATTATCTGTAAGAAGAAAAAAAAATCATCCAATGCCAGTTATCCAAAAATGACCTTTTCCAAATATTTTCGGGGACCAGTTGTTTTCCTTAGGAAACATTGAAAGAATCTTTTGTTATATATGCTGAAAATGGTAGATGTATGTGATGCACCTACATACTATAATGTAAATATCTATGCTACATTATAGATTATACACACTGGAAGTGGTGCTGTGTCTCAAGAGGTAGAGCGCTCACCTTGAGCTGAAGAGCTAAGGGACAGCGCCCAGGCCCAGAGTTCAAGCCCCACAACTGACAACAACAACAACAACAACAATTTAGATTATACACACTACATTGCAAAAAATTTGAAAGCACAGAAAATCCATCCAAGGTGAACCATCATATACACATTATAATAAATATTTATAAACTTTCTAGAGTACAGCTGTGATGGTGCATGTTATTTTAACTCTTAATAATGTTTAGTATTTATCATCATTGAATCATGATCTGGGTACAGTTATATGTACTGCCTTTACCTAATATTAGCATAATCATTTTCTCTTGGTAATATAGACTTTACAGAAGCATAATTTGATAAGCATCATTTCAGAGATTAAAATATATCATCAGGAATGTGCTGTGTTATCACATATGAATTTTTTCTATTTTTGATATAAAATGCTGTGCTGAACTCCTTTTTTATTCCAGATTACCTTTAAATTAGGTTATTTGAAATAAAGTTGTCACATCAAAGAATGTGCCATCTATTAATGCCAGCTATCACCCCAAAGAGTTTCACCAGTTTATTCTTCCACCAAAAATGTATGAGAAGGGCTGGGAATGTCGCTTAGTGGTAGAGTGCTTGCCTAGCATTCATGGGGCCCTGAGTTCAATTCCTCAGTACCACAAACAAAAAAACTAAAATAAAAAAATGTATGAAGAAAGAACATACTCTTTCCATGGATACATCAGCCTGTTCTTCTGTTTTATTTCTTTCCCTCTGGAATTATTTGGCCAAATACTCTGTAGTCTGAGTCTGAATGTGACTCCATTCACTACTAATTTTCCCTTTCCAATCGGAGTGGGAGATTTTCTCAATGTGAACTCCATGCTGCCAGTCCGGGGCACTGCCTAGTGGGCAAAGTGGAGTTTAGCTCATCCCTTGGCCCCCACAGTGTGTCTCGGTTACTCTGCAGAATCCCAGTGTGCTCACTAGCCTGGATTTTCCACTCCCTTGTCCGAGACCAGGGAATGCTATTTCCTGTTTCCTGATGTTCCTTTTGCTTCACTGGCCATTTCAGGGTATGGCTTTCCACATTATGGATTTCCCACGTATGGAGGGATTACCTTTCATCCTGGATCCACCAAATCCAGTGCTGGGATGAACCATGGTAAGTAATAAATACTTCCATTCCCAGGTAGGAAAAAAATGACAAAAATGATGGATTTGTCTCATCGTTATATATCACAACAACAGTATCATCTGGGGGAAAAAAATCCAGATTATGCTTTTCCAAATTTGTATTTCCTGAGGATAATATAAACTCAATTCCTGATAGAATGGGGGGAGGAGAAAAAAGTCTCTCAAAAAAAGACATATAAGAGACTTGATAGGCCCTGAATCAAGACCAGTGCTTGATGTAGCTACTGGTTTCAAACAGGAGCCTAGAGTAATATCTTTCTTTGGTCTGTGGGTTATTCATTGTTGCAGTGAGAATGGCCATTTGTTGGGAAGAAACATAGTGGAAAAAAAAGAGAGAGAGAGAGACTTGACTATTCAACTATTTTAAAATCACCAGACTTTGTCTCTTTTATACCAGGTGCTTTACATGCTTTATGTCTACAGGTGTTTTTATTCTTTTTTTTTCTTTTTAAAGATTATAACTGACTTTTTAAATTGTATAGTCAGGCAACACGTCATTCCATAAAATAAGTGTTTCTCCACCTGTAATCTTCATGACTTCTCATCATCCCCATTTCATACACAGAGGTAGAAAACAATTCAGTTGCTAACGGCACATCACTGTTCATGCCAGAAGTGGAATTTAAACTAGTTCTGCCCACGCTCCTGTGGTACCTGTCAGATGGCATGGTTGAACCAGAAAGAGCGTGGACTAAGATGGTGCACTTGAAATCCCACACCCCTGACTGTGAATTGAGATTACATTTTGACAGCTTGCCTAATTAGCACAGCTCCTCCGTTTCCAAGAATCCTCCATTTTTCCATTTCTCTTCAAGAGTTGTATTTCACTGCTCTCTTTTCCCGATAAGCAGAATCTGTTTTTAAAGGTACGGTTTTAAAAGGTTTCAGAAGTGATCGTGTAAGATACTTCCGAAATGTGTTGTTCACCTTATGAACCTTTTTTTTTAAAGAATTTCAAATTATGATTTTTATTTTCCCTTTGCAGCAGAATTGCCTCCTACCTTTATGCGAGTTACAACTTACAACAGTGAGTTACAACTTAATTAGTGGCTTCTACTGAGAAAATGCTGATGTGTTGCATTTTTCTTAGGAACCATAAACACTGAATATAAAAACAGATCTGAAGGTGATGGCAAGTGTGAGGATGAAGAGACTGCACATGTCCCTGGGAAAGAAAGTGAAATCCCAGAACAAGATAATGAGCCAGGCAAATCCCGAAGCAGCAATGATGGGTTTACTCTGGCCGACTTGGTGGGAACAAAGGAAGAGGATCCTGGTAGGTTTCAAGGTCAGTAGCACCCAGATGACTGCATGGTATTGATTAGCTGGGGAGGAATCAGTTCTGCATGCTGGAAGCTATTTCCAGGTAACAGGGCTCTTCTCTGTTCATCTAAAGATGAAATATCAATGTGCTCGCCAAAGTCCTATGCCCCTTTTGGAAAGTGTGTGTCAGGTTGGGCACAATGGCTCACATCCCAGCTACTCTAGAGGTTAAAATTGAGAGGATCACTTACAAAGCCAACCTGGAGAGAGACTTAGTGAGACCCTCCCCCCCCCCATCTTAATAATAGCTGGATATGCGACACAGAGACATAAGTAAGAATAAGGCCAAGCTGACCTAGGCAAAAAGTCCAAGAGATCCTACCTGAAAATAGATCGAATTGATGATAGATAGATAGATAGATAGATAGATAGATAGATAGATAGATAGATAGATAATGGCTGAAGTGGTAAAGCACCTGCTTAGCAAACATAAAGCCCTGAGTACTGGGGGAAAAAAAAAAACAGTAAAGCATATGTCACATCAGTGTATTTGTACAAGATTTCCATTTTTCCAATTGTCTGAATTTAAAATACAGAAGTTTACATGTCTATTCTCCCATCCTAGTCAGATAACTTGGGACTGTTGTGAGAATAATTGCATTTCTGGCACAGGAAATCGAGATGTTTCCCTGTCATTCCTTCTCCCCCTTCTCCAACATTGGGCTTGGCTGTCTTACTGGAGCAGTCCTCCTGTTACTCTCTTTGAGGGAGCAGGATTCAAGGGAAGGAACTGTGTTGTTTCCTTTGAACAAATCATGATAGGGTATGTGTATGAATCTAGGTCATTCTACCTAGCTGGACTCTGAAGGCTTCTTCTAGGAAGGAAAGTGTAAATATTTAGATTTGGCATCCACCTACTCTCTGTGCCACACCTTTCTTTCTTTTCTTTTATACTCTTCAAAAATGTACAAGCCATGTCTAACCAGGGAGCCATACAAAAACAGGTTATACGTGGCCGGGTTTGGATCAGAAGATCACAATTTGCTCTCCCATGACCATGAAGGGCACAAACCATACAATATCACCACTGGCTCATTCAGAGTTATCTGTATGGCAGAGCCATATATGTTTTTGACACATTTACTAACAAGATAGTTGTAAAGATTCACGCAAAGCCTGGGCAGTTGTGGCTCATGCTTGTAATCCTGGCTACTCAGAAGGTTGAAATCTGAGGATTGTGGTTCAAAGCCAGCCAGACAGGAAAGTCTGTGAGACTCTTATCTCCAATATACTACTCAGAAACAACCAGAAGTGGAGCTATAGCTCAAGTGGTAAAGCACTAGCCTTGAGCAAAAGAGCTTAGGGACAGCGCCCATCCAAGACAACCTCAAAAAAAAAAAAAAGATTTAAGTGAAGGATTATTTTTACCAAGGTATTTAAAATGTAACATGCCAAGCACAGGGGCTCACACCTATATGTGGGAAGTAGATATAGAAAATTACAGTTTAAGGGCATCCTAGACAAAAAAAAAAAAGTTAGCCAAACCTTCTCTTAAAGACCTTCTCACCAAGAAAGGCCTAGTGTTACGTGCCTGTAATCCCAGCTACATAAAAGAGGCTATAGATAGAAAGATCAAGGCTCAAAGCTGGCTTGGGAAAAAACATAAGAGCCTATCTGAAAAATGACTTAAAGAGGAAAAGGCTTAGGGTATGGCTCAAGTAGCAGAGCACCTGCCCAGAAAACACAAACCCCTGAGTTCAAACCCAGTACCAGAAGAAGGAGAGGAGGAGGAAGAGAAGGAGGAGGTAGAGGAAGGGGGGGGGGGGAGAGAAGAAGAGGGAGAAGAAGAGAAAGAACAAAAGAATGAATAAGAAAGCAAAGTTCAATTTGCATTGTTTGAAGATGGATGAGTCTCCTTAAAGTAACGGACATTGACAGTTCTTAAAGTAACAGACATTTCTCTTTTTTTTTTCAAATTTTTTATTGTGATTAAGTGGTTACATAATTTCCCAAATTTCACAGTATTGTGGGATAGTGATGCTCAGTTAAAGTCACAAACACATCCTAACTTTCATGGGGCAAATTGTCTATCATGGTCTATAACATTTATGAGTTCTATGAGTTTTGCGATACAGTGATTTCTTCCACATTGAGTGATATGTACATTTCTTTTGTTTTGCATAGCATCAGCTGTTCCCTCTTTCCCACTTGTTCCCTCCCTCCCATCGCTGCCATTGAGTTGCTTAGTTCATTTTGATCAATGTCCAGTGCAGCTGATGGGTCCCGCTGTTGTTTGTTTTTCCCTGATTCCCTCTAGTTCTGTGTCGTCCTCCTGGTTCCCCTCGGGTGTGCACATATATACCATACATGTGATCAGCAGCATGGGGTTATTTAGTAGTGATTCGACCAGATGAGTGCAAGTCCTTTGTTTCTTAAGTCTTGTAACAGACATTTCTAACTTCCCCCATAACAAGCCAACAGATGTGTTTTTACATCCGTCTGTTTATTTGTTTGCACTTTTTCTGATGAACACAATCCAGAAGCACCCCAAGGAGCATTTTCAACAGAAACAATGTACTGCCCCATACCTGTAGGAAAAGTATGGGAGCCTCAGCAATGATCCTGGTCCTTGTGTTGCAGATCATCTCTTCCTGGAGAAGGCGATGCAGTTGGCCAAGCGGCATGCCAATGCTCTCTTCAACTACGCGGTGACGGGAGACGTGAAGATGCTGCTAGCTGTCCAGCGCCATCTGACCACAGTGCAGGATGAGAATGGGGACAGGCAAGTCAGAGCTCTTGTGTGGCCAGGGTGGTTTAAGGGTGTGGATGATGGGAAAGTATTATATGAGGCATATTGTCTGGAGAGAACAGCACCGTTCTAAAGTTCTAGTATCCTGTAGTGAAGCATACGTGGCCTCTCCTGGCCTGTTGCTGTCACCTACTAAACTCTAATAGTAACTGGAATATTCTTGCAAGAGGACATCTCAGCTGGGTGCCAGTGGCTCATGCCTCTAATCCTAGCTACTCAGGAGGCTGAGATCTGAGGATCGAGGCTCAGAGACAGAAGGCTCAGAGACAGCCCAGACAGCCAAGTCCATGTAACTCTTGATATCACTGAACTACTAAAAAAACCAGAAATGGGGCTGTGGTTCAAAGTGGTAAAGCACTAGCCTCAAGCACAAAAAGCTCAGGGACAGTGCCAAGGTCCTGAGTTCAAGCCCCAGGATCAACACTATTTAATTAATTAATGTAAGAGGGCATCTCTCTAGGCAAGGGAACCAAGATATGTGTAGCTAATGGTCATTTTTGAAAGCCTTGCTTTATTTATTATAATAATAATAATGGAAGAATTGTTGAAATAAGAGTGGAAGAATTGTTGAGTCCCTTCAAATCCCTGGATATTCGTGGTGATCATATACTGGAGAAAAATCCTAACGAAGGAGTAAGAGGCAGCTGCTGCTTTCCCCAGTTCCTGATCCTGTCCACCGCCTCTGCGCATGGTCCCCAGCGCGTGGGCGCACAGCATGCTTCCCACCCAGGCCACGGGGTGGGGAGGTGGGGTGTCCAATTTTGCAGGCACCACGCCTGCTGTTGCCAAGATAGTATTTCCAAAGCCACCTGGCTTCTTTCTAAAACAGTTCCCCTCCTCCTTTCACTGATACTTCTAAAGTGATCTCAAAAGCCTAGAAAAGCAACAAGAGACCACAGCGCTTAGATTCAAGTCAAGCGCTCTATCTCAAACATTCCTAAAATAGCATCAACGCGGAGAAGTCCTTCTCTGTGGAAGAGCTCTTGAGCGCTGTGCTTCAAGTCTCGGTTTAAATACCAGGCACTTTAGGAAAGTGCCAACCTCAGGGTTTCAAGCAGAAACCTTTGTTCTCTTTCCTTACAGCGTAACCAAGGATGTGGTATAACCACTGGCCTTGTTATACAGTGTGAGGGGAGCCGGTACAGCCTTCTCTGTAGAAAGCCTCCAACAGCACAGTGTTGTTTATTTTTTCAGGGTTAAATAATCTGATTCACATTCAATAACATCGAACCACAAGAGAAAGCAGTT